GAAAATATTTCCCAAGACCTGAATGATTTCTTTGTGAAGATAGATGGAAGCCAAGGGTGAAAGTTCATGATGTGGAGGCTCATTGGAAATTATCCAGTTGAGTATGAGGAGGACGATGACTATGCTTGATGGTTATACATTATCATGATTTAGAGACTAACCTGTAGTTTGATGACTACACTTTTGAAATTGTATTTTGAGCACATGACATGCTTTTATATATGTATTTTGAGGATATGGTTCCTTATTATATATATATTATGTGTTTGATGACTATGTGGTTTAAATTGGAAATAGGTGTCTATGATGCTTATTATGAGTGTATGGTGCTAATTATATGTAGATGATGTGTCTATGATGCTTGTTATGAGTGGATTTTGGGGGGTGGTTTATGTTCAAGATCTGGTAATTGTGTTACTCTTGGTTTTGTTATTGTAGATAGGGAGAAAAAAGAACAAGGATGCAATTAAGTGAAGGTGGTTTTAGTCATATAAAAATTTCCGTTTTATGTACAAAATTTATCTTTTGTGATCATTTTGTAGTTTTTGTTATCAACATGATAGAGGGCCTAATCAGTTTGGTAATATGATATTGCTCAATTTGATGGTGTTTTGTGATTGTTGGTTTGAAATTAAAACCGAAACTTGACAGATTTCAATCTCAATTTGGTGATGTTTCTGACCAATTAAATTTCATTTTATTGTCTTTTACCAAATAGAAATTAATGGAACTAGATATATTTTTAAGTGTCCATAGGCTTTTTAATTTATCTTGTTTGGAATCTAATATTGTAGTATTGATATTTTACATCTGATAAGTTTTATTTTCATGCATATAATAAGATGGAATATATAGATGTACCTATTTTGTTGTTTCAAGAGGATAGTGCTGATTATCTCCTTATCTACATAATCACTGTGGCTGCACAAATAGCGTAGCTACTTGCAAAGGTCTCACAACTAATATCAGAGGAAAAGTCAACTATACAGTTGTGTGCATATTCCGGCCTCCGACATGGCACTACAGATATTGGTCTTTAATATTTGAAATCCAAGATAGAGAACAGTCCTCATGATTTTCGTCGGATATTTCATATGTATCCAGATTGCTTCATGAAACTGTGTATGGTATTATGAGGTCACAACCATTGTTAGGACTCTGGTTTTTGAGCCTACATTCTTCTCTTGTTTTGATGATTTTAAAAACAATTTATAGCTAACTTGTTTCCTAGTGATTGTAGCTTGTTACAGGTTCATATCAAAGAATTAAAGATTCAAGATTAAGCCGTGTTCGCAATCACTTAGGTATATTAGTAATTTTGTAACGTATAGTGTGTGAATATATTTCAAGCTCAATATATATACACACACATTTTTTATTTCTCTTACAAAATGAGTTTATTGGTTTATTGCTCTTGTTTATATTACTTTCATGCTTTATAATATGTATAAAAATATTTTATAAAGTTTTAACATATTTCTACTTGTCAAAATTCATTTTTAAGTTTCATGTAAAACACGTATTATGTACACTTTGCAAAAACGATGACTTTGTACAAATAAAAAATATAATTCCAAAAATTCCTTTTCAAACATGTCTATTCTTATGTTTATAAAGTTTTTTCAAAGTTTTACAATTTTTGGATAACATTTATTATTTTTTTACGTGTGCTCAAAGTCCAGTTTTAAACATGTTGTTTTCATATATCAGTTTTCGGTCGACCGCGTGTGTCGCTGCGGTCGACCGCACATTATCCAGAGACCAACTCTGGTTTTTTAGCTGTCCGCGGTCAAACGGAGTGATCGCGGCGGTCGAACGCAAGTTGTCTAGAGACCCAATTGTGTTTTTCAGCCTTTCGCGGTCGACCGGCCATGACTCTGCGGTCGACTGTCAAGATAGTCGTTGCACAGTAATGGCTGGTTTCCCTGTTTTATTTTCTAATAGGTTTTTGGTCTTTTTACTTGGGTTTTTACTGATGTTTTAGGTTTCTATAAATACCTCATTGCATTCAAGTTCCCAATTAACTAAGAAAATTGTTTTAACAAGTTTTACAAGTGTTTAAGAGGTGTTTTAGCCTTGTTTCAAGTTTCGTTTCAAAAGATGAGTTTTTCACAAGGAGGAAGCTTTTGATTTCAACTAAGAAATCCATCCTCATCATCTTATCTACAGCTCCTTGTGTTTATAGAGAATATTTCCAACTCTTTTATCTAGCTTATTTATTATTTGATTTTTATATTCATATCTTAGCTAGTTCTATTTGGGTTAGAATTTTATTGTTCTCATTTATCACTCACACCTCAATTGAGCTTTTAATATTTTTCATACAATATATTGTTGGGTAGTGGTGAGTGATTTAGTGAGAGTGAGCTTCATAGTATTCTCATTCATTGGTAGAGAACAAATCATTGTACTTGAGCTTTATTTGTGAGAATCACTTTGTAATATACATTTACACCGAGAAGAGTGTATGGTTAGGACGTAGTCGATACCAAGAGAAGTGGCGTCAGTAGTAAAGCCTAGTGAGAGGTAGTAAAGCCGAGCACTTGAGAGAGGCGATACGTGAGGACCAACACTTGAGGTTGTAGTTTGTGTATGTACATTGTGAGTGACTTGTAGAGTTTTCGGTAAACTAGAAAATCGAGCGTGTAGAGAAGTTTCCGCTTCCAAACCAGGTGTATCGTGATAGTATATTCTCCTCGGGAGTCGGGAGCAGAGACGTAGGACGGAAGGTCCGAACTCCGTGATCATATTATTGTGTTTGAGTTTGCTTTGTGTATATTTATTTTGTGCTTGTATTTTACATTCTTGCTCATAACTCACTCATATATGTTTTGCAAGATTTTATTAATCAAGAAAGTTTTTAAATTGGCTTAAAATTGGAATTAGATTAGAATTGACCCTATTCACCCCCCTCTAGGGTCTAACACCATTTACAATATACACGTTATATTAGTGCTGAAGAGATGATTGCTATTTTTCTTCTCACTGTTACACAAAATCAATGATATTGCATTACTACTGAGCGGTTTGATCGATCCCGATTTGCTGTAAGTGTGTGCTTCAACAAAGCACTCAAAGCTCTTGTAACATTAGCCCCTTCTCTGATGGCTTCACCTTCTATTGACCCACCACAAAATGTCACTTCAGACTCTCGTTTTTGCCCATATTTCAAGGTATTTTAATTTCAAATGCATTATATCACTCTTTATTCTTTATTATAAAATTATTTGATTTATATCTCATAAAAATTAATGGGAAATTAATTGAATGAATAGGGTTGTATCAGTACAATTGATGGGACCCATATTCCTTGTATGGTGTATGACATGGATCAAACCCCATTCCTAAAATGTCCTTGCGACATGCACATTTGATTTCAGATTTATTTATGTCCTGGCGGGATGGGAGGAATCTGCCAATGATTCACGGGTCTTGAAGGATACAATGAGTAGAAGAAGTGAATATAGACTTCCAATCCCAGATGGTAATAATCTTTATGTCAATTTGTTAAATTTAATGTTTGCTTTTTAAAGTTTTTTTTATTATAATTCCAACAATATATTACTACAGGAAAAAGTCTGGCGGATTGTAGTTATCCCAATAGGCTGCAGTTCTTGGCTCCGTATAGGGGTATGAGGTACCACCTAAAGGAGTTCGGCGCAGCCAACAACCGTCAGCGGCCACGTAATCCACATGAGTTATTCAACCATCGACATGCATCTCTCCGAAATTGTGTTGAGCGTATATTTGGTGTTTTCAAGACAAGGTTCACTATTTCCAAGAGTCAACTTCATGGATTTTCATATGAGACACAAAAATATATGGTTTGGGCTTGTATCGGCGTGCATAACTTTCGGAAGTTAGAGAGAGAACTCAAACGATGACTTTGAAGTTTTTGATATTCCTTCTGAGGCACCACGCAATGTTGCACTACTTAATGCAGATTCCGATGAGGATGACGATTTACAGACTCAACAAACACACCGAACAATTGCAGCAGAGCGGAGAGAATATATGGCAAATAATATTTAGCATGACGGGACACGCATGTCGCAAGGGGTTTAGTTTTTAGTTGGTGGTCGTTTAACTTAATTTGTTATTATTAAGACTTTTTTTTTTGACAATCAAGCATTTTTTTTGTAATAGTATGACTTTTATATCTCAATCAAGGTTGTTCTTTTTCAAATAATAATTGATCACTAATATATGTTAATTATAGTATTAATAAGGATTAAATTGATACATAAATATTTATATCATATATTTACAATATATTATATTATTGATAATAATAATAAATTTATTATTACTTTAAAAATTATTCTTAATATAATAATAATAGTTTGTTCATGCAAGTTAATTAATAATAAGAACTTAATAAATACATAAATGTCATATTTTAAAGATGTCATCATTTAATTGTCACACTCAAATTGTCACATTATTCTCAATTGTCTCAATTAAAGTGACTTGTTACCCACATTTTATCTCACTTTATCCCATCAAATTATCACATGTGTATAGAGTCCCACTAGAGGCACACCTCCGACCACACCTCCAACCACACTCCCTCTCTCTCTCTCTATAGTGATAGTGGGCCCTGTATGATATTTTTTTTTAAAATATCATGTAGGGCCCACTACCACTATATAGAGAGAGGGAGTGTGGTTGGAAGTTCGGTTGGAGGTGTGTCTCTATCATTATTTATGTGTATAATACTATCCAAGTGAGACAATTATCCCAATGGGCCCCAAACGTCCCAATAAATAACCCCCTCTTTAAAAAAAATAATAATTTACACATTTCACCCCGTTTGATTCCCCGGAATCTCCCCTTTTGCGGTCGCTTTCACCTGCCGCCCCAAGAACCACCGCTTTTTCCCTTCCAACATGCTCTTTGCCCTCCCTCCGTCTCTCTCCTCTCTCCCACAAAAGGAAAAGAAAAAGAAAAAAAAAACACAGATCAAGCCCTAATTTTCTCTCTCTTCATAATTTATCCTCTCTCTCTCTCTAAAACCACCGCAATCGAAACTTCTAGGAACCCCGGCCGCCTCTTCCACTCTTCGATTGGCGGGCCCTCCACCGGCTCCTCAGAGCCGCCGCTATCGATATCGGGACGATGAGCTTCTCGTCGCTTCTTCTCCTAAGGATCCTCGGTTTCCGGCGACCGTCGCTCGCAAGGCGGCGTCTCCTGCAGCGGCGACGCCTAGGCAGAGGAACGTGCAGTGGGTGTTCTTGGGGTGTCCAGGCGTTGGAAAGGGGACTTATGCGAGCAGGCTCTCGAGTCTCCTCGGCGTTCCTCATATTGCTACTGGCGATCTCGTCCGCGACGAGCTTAATTCGTCCGGTCCCCTCTCGAAGCAGGTACGAGATTCGTTCGGCTCGTGATTGAGAAGAATTTTGTCCTTGATTGATGAAAATGATTTTAAGTTGTGGAGTTCTTGGGATTTTATATGCTCGAGTTTGAGGTAGGAGGAGCTTTACAATTATAAAACACTCAAATATTTTAATTTTTGAAAATAATTTTTATAGAACCAACAAGATGTCGAGGTAACATGGTGTCATTTTCCAAAGGGCTATTTTTAGGGAACCACCCCTCACTTACGCTCTACTTCATGTTACCACCCTTAATTGCCTTGGTTTCAGAAACCCACCCCTGTACACCATTCCTTCGACATACAACTAACCATATACTTCTTCATCCAAGTTTTCATGCGAATAATTATAGTTTGACAGTTTTACACTTACATAAGTTTAATTTTGTATAACTTTGGGTATCAAAGTTAAATATCTGAATTTATTTCCCATTTTGTCTTTGATACCCCAAACTGTTTCTTTGCCCAGAGATACCCCGAAGTCTATATCATTTTTCACTTTGATACCTTACAGTTCTTATTTGCCCAAAAAATCTCCAAAGCTGATACCCAAAAGTTTGACAAAATTTAATTTTAATACCATATTTCAAATTTGATGCACAAAGTTCAACACAAGTTAACGTTGATTTCTAAAGTTCAACAAACCTATGCATGGGTAAAATCGTCAAATTTAAAAAATTTTGGATGGAAAATTGGATAGAAAAGGGCATGAGTGTTATATGTTAATGGAATGGTAGATAGGGGTGGTTTCCTGAAATTTGATTAGTTAAGGATGGTAAGTGATTAGGGTCTAAATTAGGGCTGGTTTCCTTTAATTAAAAAATATTTTTTTTCAAAATCAAACATTTTTTGAGATAATGGATATATGACTTCACTTCCTATCAGATAATGTATATGCTTTACCTTTTTGTGGAAGAGAGAAAGTCTATATTAATGTGAAAGAGTAGCTATCCTATTTCCAAGGGATCAAAGAGAGAATGCATAGGAAAGTGAGAAGATGTAAAAAAGTTCTAAATGGATTATTAATATTAGGGAAAGATGGAAATGTTTCTGGTTAATTTTTAGATTGAAAAAGCAAAGAGAATAATAGAGAAGGCATAAGAAAAAGAAAGGAATGTTTAATAAAAGGGAACATGGAAATTAGATGCGTAAGTATCCGCTACTTGTCATATTTCTGCAACTAGTGACAATTGTCTTAGTATATATTATAGATCTTGAGTGAATACAAGTAGGACGAGCTTGAGTGATTATGATCTTTCTTTTGATATATCACATTGATATGTTCTTATTGATCTGAACTCTTTGTTATTGTTGTAGCTTTCTGAATTAGTCAATCAAGGAAAATTGGTATCAGATGAAATTATTATAAATTTACTGTCCAAGCGTCTTGAGGATGGAGGAGCAAAGGGAGAATCAGGATTCATTCTTGATGGTTTTCCAAGAACAGTAAGACAAGCGGTAAGCAATCTACACAGACAATGAACAGGAAAAACATTAGTCACGCTCTGCTATATGTCTGAATTTTTAGTCGACTTTAGAAACATTTGAAGGAGATCTCTTGCACTTGTGGTTTCTTGTGCAATCCTTCCTATTCTTTGCTTCTGTCCACGTGGGAAAAAAACAATCACACACATGTGCACGCACAATATTGTCAAGCTATCTTACATTTTTTAAAAAGGAGAATTCATTACTTCTTTCCCATGTCTGTTTGATGTTAGTAATTATTTTTTAACACTTGACATGAGGAAAGTACTGTAAAGTGTAATACTTCTGTCTTATATGGTATTTGCTGTGTGTTGTCGGTCCAACCTTGCTGTTGTGTTCAAGGAGGGTTGTGATAGAACTCAGCCTGGACTATGGCCATGAGTGAGGAGACAACAAAATAGTGTTTAGAAATTTTTTGCATTCTCAAAATTAGGAGCAATTTTTTTCACTTTTCATCATTGGATTCCCCTTTTTATGTTAAGGTTTCATGTGCATATTAGATCTAAGAATGTTGATCTTTAAACATTTGAGCTAAGTTTTGCTATGGTATTAGAAGACTAAGAATAGAAGAACAGCATAGAAATAGTGGACAGCGGAATAATACAGCCATCACATAGGTTGCAAGTAGATATTCATAATTTTGAGTTTTTATAAAGGAAAATGCTTATAAGATCATCAATACATGGATGTTATCTTATTTGTCGAAGTAGAATGGAAAATGCAATAAAGTGTCTTATTTAAAATACACCTCTGAGCGCTTCTGTATATGATTGAATCCTCCAGATTGTTTATAAAACTATTGCATCATTGACATTTTTTATTTAGTTATGTTGTACTTGCATGAAGTTCATTCTTCTAGTTATCTTGTACTTGCATAAATATATCAATTACAGTTCCTAACTGTTCACCGTGACTCTTTGCACTCATTATTCTGTGATGAAAACTTAGGAAATACTTGATGGAGTGACTGATATTGACCTGGTGATCAATCTGAAGCTCAGAGAGGATATAATACTCGAGAAATGCCTCGGGAGGAGGATTTGCAGCCAATGTGGTGGAAATTTCAATATTGCTAATATCAACATCAAAGGTGAAAATGGGAAGCCTGATATATCTATGGCGCCGCTTCTACCACCCTCTCACTGCTCATCAAAGCTTATTACTCGCTCTGATGATACTGAAGAGGTGGTAAAGGAGCGCTTGCGTATATACCATGAGCTGGTATGCTCTACCTTCTGCTATTTTGGTTTCTTTTACTTTAAATTTTTTATTGCGTACAGTTTACATTACTTTCTATGTCACTCAGTGTGTTTTAATTACGACTATTATATAGAATGCTCCGCCTCTGGTTACTTCTCTTAGCATCCTTGCCCGTGTTGTTCAGAACTGTCCGTGCAGAAACTATATTTGCTAATCTTTCACTTCCTTTCCTTTCCTAAATTTTATTCCCTTCGACTTGACATCAAATTTAGGTACATTGGGTAACATGATGTTGTCTATTGACTCGATTGTTTGCATAGATCATGCATTTTCAACCAGTTCTATGCTTCGACGAGCGTTTCAAAATTCGCAATAGTATTTCTTTGGATGATTTGTTGCCTGACTAGAATCAGTTCGTTATCTGGTTCGAGAAAAGTTATATATACTACCAAAACTTTACTTTTTTGTGCATACTTCTCTCTACTTGTCCTGGATAATGTTAGTCTTGAAATTCAGAAGGAGGTGCAATGGAGTTTGATACATCTGAAAATCAAATTGAATTTTTGAACCTTACGATTTATTTACTATATTTAGGTCATGGTATGTATGTAATGGAATACATCATAATGCCAGGATACATTTGCGCCACACATTTGCACATTACCAAGTGTCGGATTCTTTGCATCCAATATGTATCACTTATATGGTATGGGTGTGCTTCTGCATTTAACAATTCACGCGTCATTCTCTGTGTGATATCTTAATCTCAATAATTGAATATTTTATATTATCTGTCATACCAGATTATATCTTTTATGGTATTGTAATCAAAAAAAAATTTATGGGAAAACCAGTATGTCAACCTTAATGTGGGTGATAGCTTCTTCATTAGGGGTGGAAGCTGATGTAATATTCAAATTTGATTTGGAAGGTCATTTAAGAGGAATAATATATTTTTGGTAATTGTATGTCAAAACAATTTGAATATTAACATTGATGTAGTCAATTTGTTTGATTATGGAATATTTGTGGTAGATATGCAGTAACTCCTTATGTTTTATGTCGTCGGCTTATTTCACACATAAATGTTATGTTTGAACTCCACTTAGATTTTCTAGTCTACTTTCTACACTTAACTTAAGAGACTTGCATCCCAACATCTTTGATGAAAATTTTTGAGAACAACATTTTACATTAAGTATTTAAGTTACGGATTATACGTCATAATTAGAGAGCAACATTCCCACAACCAAATTTAAGTGCTATCAAAAGAATCATATTCTTTAACCAAATGAAGATTTCTTTCAGGTAAATTACTTGCAAGGTATTGAAACATTCAATCAAATATAATAGAAATATGTTAGTATTTAAGAATACTCGAACTTGATTCAAATTCAAGATTCAAACAATTATGATGAATTCAAATATGACTACTTCAGTAAAATTCAATTTGATTTAATTCCAGCCCTGTGATGCACCATTGATGGTATGCAGGGATTCCGTCTGTTAGCCTCTTGGGTATGCAGAGGGGTAGAGAAATTTATGCTTAGCTGGATTATTTATGCTGTGGTGCTTTGATCAGTAGGTAGCTTCCAACGTTTGATCAGTAGTGGACACATGATTAACAACATCTTATGGACATTACTGCTCACTGAAGGGGAAAAAATCTTATGAGATCTGTTATTTATTGTTTATTTTTTGGGTGCTTGTGTGCTTGTGATTGGCAAATCAGTGTTACTTTGAGAATTATAATTCTGGTTTCAGCAGATTTTAGCATGTCATTTCCCAAAGAACTTGAGCATGTCAATGTTTTAAAAAGCTCTCGCTTAGCCTGCCTAGCCCTAGGCGGTACCTAGGCCGGCCGCCTGGGTCTTGGGAGTGCCTAGGGGTGCGGAGACTGCGTACACGGACTGGATCACTTAGGTCTTGGTCGTGATTTCCTTGTTGCTGCCTCCACATCCTCTTACCTCTGAACTCCTCTGGCCGCCTCTGCCAACTATGAATACCTCATCTGACTCTTCCAACCTTCAGCAAAACCTTAATCACCACTTTAAGAAAAAAGAAATTATCCTAGGCCTAGTGCCTAGGTGCTAGGCTTCTTCAGTCTTGCACCCCGTGATGCCCAGCAATTTCAATAATGTTTATTTTAATCACCTTTCAATAAGATATATTTTAATTAAAAATAAAAAAAGGAAAATGCCTATGCCCCACCTAGGCTCTAGGCGCAGGGTCCGACGTTGCCACGTAGCTCGTTCTTTAACCTTCCATGTCTTTCCTAACATTCTCAATTTTGACTCTTTCGTACTTCTGTTCGTGCAGAGCGAGCCTGTGGAAGAGTCCTACCGAAAGCAAGGGAAGCTTTTGGAGTTTGAGCTTCCTGGAGGAATTCCAGAATCTTGGCCAAAACTATTACAAGCATTGAACCTCGATGACCATGATGACAAACAATCTGCTGCTGCATAACCATCAGTTAGAGGTTAAATACTCTTCTAGCATGTTTGCAATTGTACATGCATGGTTAGCGGTCATTTTGAAATCATTCTTTAATTAAGACATACCTGCAACTTGTGCTTTTAAACAGCAGGAGAGAGAGTGTTTTGTAGCTTTTAGTTGTATGGAGAGTTACACTTTCAACTGTTGAGACAGGATTCGAGTGATATTTATGTAAGTAGTAAGTTTGGTCGATTAGTCAAGTTTTCGGTAAAAAACAAATCTTAATCGATTGGTTTATTTCCCTTTTGAATTTGTTCATCGAAGCTGAATTTTAGAAGATATAGTGTTGTATTCTTCTATATTCAACAGGAGTGGTAAAGGATCCTGACATGTCGGATGAAGTTAGTTGAATGCTACTAATACTCGTGGTAAACTTCTCGATTCAGTGGTTTCCTTAATGTATATAAATGCATTGACACTTTAATAGCATGATATGCTGTCCATTTCCCTATTCATGAAGATCTATTTGAATGTCGATAATAGCATAATTTGCAGGGAGAATGTTTCTGAGATTGAATAAATATCTATTTCCTCATGGACTTGACTATTTGTAGCAGTTTACAATCTTGAGCAATACGTGGGGAAAATGATGGGTAATACTCACTGAATTCTGATACTAGGTAAGAACACATGTATAGAGAAAATCTACTACTTATTTATCTCTTTTCTCTTCTCGTTTCTTTCTTTTTTTCTGATTCATTTGAATAGTGAATGTAGTTTGTTTCTAAGATCTACGATATTTTATAACTCAAAAAAAAAAAAAAAAAATTGGGTAATAAGAACTTTCCTGGGTCCTTGATATAGAAACCTGATGTACGTTTGTTCTTTAAGCTTTGCTGGTGCTTACTCCTAGCCATTGACCGTGTAATACAATACAGTCAAGAGTCTTCATATTTTCAAAGTAACTTTTTGGCATCTATGGAGTTTTGTATTGATGATAATGATATGGTCTCCTTGGAGTATTCTTTATAGTTGCTCGTTTTCAAGTAAGATCGTTTGTTAGACGAATTGTCCATAAATAAAACTCAGTCCCTCCAATTTCAGTTCAGAATGTGAATTTTTGGATTATTTCTGCAGGATTGGGTGCGCTGATAAGAAGATGGTGATTGCTCATTTCAAAAATGGGGCACAAAAAAATGATGAACTGTCGATAAAGAACTCTCAGTTTACAATTTCAATTCAGAATGCTAATTATGGTTTATCTTTGCAGCGTGGGGTACTGATAATAAGATGACAATCGTACTGGACTAGTGATTAGTGAAGTTTAATCCATGCTGCAAAACAAATTACCCAACATTTGTTTTGCAGATAGGCCCCATTTGAGGATTAAAAAAGAAGTTTAGAAATAATGCTATGTGTCTGTGTTAACGTTCCAGAGTAAAAGATGTTGCATGTCCATATCATATCATATCATACTCCCTTTAAAAGCACGAGTTCGGGAAAATATTTCGATAGACACTTAGGATTCAAATATTAATCAATCAAGTAAGAGTAAGTTGATAAATTGATGAATTCTTATTGGATATACATAGTATGAATATGAGGATATAGTTTAAATTAAAATATAAACCTGAATGAAATTATTAAATGTTAAATTTAAAAATATCTACAAGATGATGGACGTATATGCAAAAACCAAATAAGTTAACGAGAAAAATAATGTCTGCCCCAAATGTCGAACCCAGAAATAACATAGACCTACAAATGTACATAATGTGGACGGGATATTTGTAAAATCCACCAAACAAATTAAAGAGATAAAAGTCATTCTCAAAATTATAAAAAAAAATTAAAACAAACAGTTGCGACCTGGGGACACAACGTGACAATCTCTCTCCGACTAAAATTCATACTCCTTTTAAAAGCACGAGTTCAGAAAAATCTCTTGATAGATAAAAATACCCTTAGAATTTAAATATTAATCCATTAAGTAAGAGTAAGTTGATAAAATGATGAATTCTTAGTGGATATACATATTATGAAGATAAGGATATAGTTTAAATTGAAATGTAGACCTGAATAAAATTATTAAATGCCAAATTTATAAATATTTACAAGACGAATGGCGTATATGCAAAAACCAAATAAATTAATGAGATAAATAATGTTTGCCCCAAAGGTCGAACCCAGGAACATCGCAGACCTACAATTGTACATAATATGGATAGGATATCTGCAAAATCCACCAAACAAGTTAAAGAGACAAAAGTCATTCTCAAAATTATAAAAAATGAAAATTAAAACAAACAGTTGCGACCTGAGGACACAACGTGGTGATCTCTCACCGACTAAAATTCAAGTAGTTCACGGTACTATATAATTAGTTTTAAAGTTTAATTATACTATTATTATTTAAATAAAACTCTATTTATAATTGTTATCCTCTCACATGTAACATTACGTACTAATATATATAAACCAAGATATTACAACAATTTTCATAGTACTTTCATCTCCTTCTATAGGTATGTGCATTTGTTATTTTATTCTTATTAGATTACATTAGATTTTTTTAAAGAAATTAATTATATTGTATATTTAATTTTTTCCATATTAAGAAATAGCAATAATTTTCATAACACTTTTATCTATTTTCTTTTTATAAGGTTAGATTAGATTATTTTAAAGTAATTAATTATATTGTATGTTTGATTTTTTTCAGATTAGAAATTATAATAATTTTTATACCACTTTCATCTCTTTCAACAGGTATATGCCTTTATTATTTTCTTCTTATTAGATTAGATTGTTTAAAATTTATGAATTATAAAATTGTAACAATTTTTACAACATTTTTATCTATTTTCTTCTTATTAGATTAGATTATATTATTTTAAAGCAATTAATTGTATTGTATATTTGATCTTTTTTTCAGATCACAAAGTTTAATTATACTATTATTATTTAAATAGATACTATTTGAATAAAAGAGAATTTTACACGTATCTTAGATCTCAATACCAATTATAATATTTACATATATGTGTTGGTTAAAATAAATTTTATGTATAGGCTTAACTTATATGATCCTACTTTAACCGATTAGATAACTTATACTTTTTTTTACACCCAAACTCTTCCACAAAACCAAAAGAGAATAGCAATGCTATACCTATAGATATCCACAGGACCACAGATATCTTGAAAATGAATAAAGAAAATCACACAAATAAAAATCATATTAATTACTCCCACACACCCACTATTTTCAAAACCACTCTTCTCCATCTCCATCTATAATATATCCACATATCCAAATTAAGCTTCTAAAGTTTTTCTCTCACCAACTATGCTATTGATCAACTCTTTTTTTTCCTTTGTACTTAAATTATATAACATTAATTGTAACGAGGACTCACCTGGTTCCGCCGCCCGCCTTTAACATACAATAAAAATAATAATGTACTAGACTTTGTAGTTATTTAATAATGAGATCCTATCATTATTAACAAATTAAGAAAAAACTAATAATTCTTAAGAATGTACTACGTTCCCCTAGCTTCCACTGCAAAATTGTCAGTTGTTTATTGCTAGCTCTAAGAGATTTTTAAAATTAATCTTGAAGGTTGCTTGCATTAAAAAAGTTATGTTAGAGGGACCATACAGTCTGTTCTTTAGTTTAAGATTGTCAACACATTTTGTCTCTGATGCATATCAGTTATGAGTAATAATATAATTTGATTGATCAAAGTATATCCTAATATATTTTTAGACACTTGCCTTGTCTTTTGCTCTCTATTATATACCAACCTAATATCACAATTAATGTAGACAATGGATACACTACAGTAAATTTTCTTAGGAAAAAGATAAAGGTGGAGAAAAATTGATATGAGCTCAACCAAATATGAAAAAAGAAGCAATAAAGGATAATATTTTTTTAAATATTTTATAAAACTTAATGTTTTGAGTAAAATTAGGAACTTTAAAAGTGATTTTCATGCAAAATTTTTAATACGCTTATGTGAATGATTTTGTCATATAAAATTATACTAGAGTTATCATTAATCTTTGGTATTTTTTTTATTTAAGTCAATCAATAATTAAGATGTCTTGTAGTCTTGTGAAAGTATGTGCTCTGTCATGAGCTTATACAAACCATCTTAATATCAAGTATTTAGTTATATTTTTATTAACACATCAACAATATATTATTCTATTTTTTCAAACTTAACACTACATTTAATGACTAAGATAAACAAATTAGAGATCGATGATTTGATCCGATAAACAAATATGTTACATGAAGCTTGATATAATTTTAAAAAAATAATTGTTGTGTATGCAAGTATATAAAATTATATTGATCCTGTATGCAAGTATATAAAATTATATTGATCCTAGTTTTACTCACAAATCTATTTCATAATTTTTTTAAATGTTTGAATAAAAATTATGGGAAATGTACTAACCATATTTATAGATTTTAGCTCAAAATTCGACTTATTTTATAGTAAGAAGATAAATAAAAATAATAAATAATTTTGATATTTAACCACGTGCTATTACACGTGCACAAGAAATAGTTCTCTTTAAAAATACGAGCTTGGGAAAAACTTTTCGTGGTCAATATTACCCTTCACTATTTTGAATATTTTATTTAGATCTATCATAATCATAATTATATCTTATTCTAATCCCATTTGAACTATCTACAACTCAATAATTAAAAAAATTAAGATTAATGAAATACATGAAACAACACTACGGTATTAGTTTGTTAAGGTAAAGAACTAATATGCTATAATATATGAAATATTACAAAATAACCCAAAATATTTAAAAAAATACACAAAATACCCTCAAAAGTTTAAATTTACGCAAAACATTCTGCCATTTCAAAACTTTAAATAATGAACATGAAATTTAAAATTTATCAGCAACCTTTGAAGAGTTTAGAATCTACAATTAACACCATAAACATTTTAAAAATTGTACAAACACCATCAAAAGTTCAAATAATAAAAAAGCTCCTTGAAATTATAAAATTTCAAAACTTACAAACAATAAAAATGAATTCAAAGGAGTACCATCAGGCACCTAAAACTTTAAAATTTACAAAAAATAACCTCAAAGTAATAAAAATTATAAATAAATCCTTCAAAAGTTAAAAATCACAAAAAAATCATGAAATTTCAAAACTTATAACTAATACATATCGGATCCAGAAAATATTTGCAGACCATTGAAAGTTTGAATTTTACAAAAAATAATCTAAAGTTTTAATAATTGTAAAAACACCCTCACAAT